AAAAGATACAATATATTCTATATTTCTAAATATAGAAAACTCTTAGATACTTCAAATAAGTTCACTGAATGAACACACACACACACACACACACACACACACACAGAGTTGTGGGGCTGTGACTTCTGGTTTGTATGGGAGACTTTAAGGAGCCTCCATTCCATCTCCTGGTGACTTAACTACACACTGTAAAGGTTTCCTTAAATCTGCAGAGTCACTGTGAACCTAACCACTGTTACCTTGATTTATATATTCCAGGCAAGAAAACTTTGTTACTGGAATTTAATCCATCACTGAGCTATAGGTATTTTAACTTTTTTTCAAGATATATTTAATTAAAATGTAGTTGCCTATTAGGAAGTAAAATATGAGCAACAGTGATTTCTAATCAAAGAAAATAATGGTGTGTATTACAACTTAGAGGCTTTCCTGATGGAGTTCAGTTGTGCAGACACGGAAAACCCTGATACTATTTTGTAGATACAAGAATTAGCTTCAGAGAGTTGAACTAGTTAAGATTTGTTCAAACTAATTAGGACTAGGGACACATTTTCTTTTAAAATTTTTATCTTATTTTTGTAAGTATTTTGCTGCATGTAAGTACACCTGTACATGCACTGCCCTCACAGGTTAGAAGTGGGTATTGAAGCCCCTAAAATTGGAGTTATGGATGGTTGTTACCACCATGTAGTGCTAGAAACCAAACCCAGGTTCTCTGTAAGAACGTCAGCACTCTTAACTGCTGAGCCGTCTCTCCAGCCCCATGGATGCATTTCCCATTGAAGCATTATAAGAAACATATTGGAAATGTCAAATTAGCAAGAATTAGTCATCACTTGTTAGTCTGTTTACCAGAAAAGGGAGGGAGTGTAAAGAGGGAAAAATAAAATTTTATTCTTATTTTTCTATTAAAACTTTATAACTTGAAAGAATTAGTCATTTAATCTTTTGTTCTAAAATTTCACAGATAAAGTATTTGTCTATAATTTTATTACTTTTATGTATCTCCCTTTCCCCCCAAACATTTAGTATCTTTTCCTTTACCTCAGTCAGACTGCATAGATATGATGTTTATAAAAAGACAGGTACCTATTTAACTATTCAAAACTTAAGATGAGCCAGGCGTGGTGGTGCACGCCTTTAATCCCAGCACTTGGGAGGCAGAGGCAGGCAGATCTCTGTGAGTTCAAGACCAGCCTTGTCTACACAGCAAGTTCCAGGCCAACTAAAGGCTACAGGGAGACCCTGTCTCAAAAAGACAAATGAATAAATAAATAAATAAATACATAAATAAACTTAAGATGAGTGACTATCACTCATTCAGTTATATCAAGACTTTAAAGGCACAATAAAGTAGTTTTGTGTTTCTTATAATACCAAAAGCAATCCTTAAGATCTTCCATTCCTGAAAATTCCTAAATGCTTTGGAAAACCAACAAACCTGGACTGTTAATGTTGGAGTATATCTTTAAGTTAATACTTGAAATGAATGAAGATTGCAGGACATATACAGTAATCATTTGGAGATCTGATGAAGATCTGAGATTAAGAAATATTTAATGTAGGGTTGGTCATAACATAGAAGTATATAATTTAGGGGCTGGAGAGATGGCTCAATGGTTAAGAGCACTGACTGTTCTTGCAGAGGACCCAGGTTTAAATCCCAGCACCCACGTGGTGGCTAACAATGGTCTATAACTCCAGTTTCAGAGGATCTGACACCCTCTTCTGACCTCTTCAGGCATTGCAGAACACAGGTGCAGTTACATGCATGCAGGTAATACATTCAGACACATAAAAGTAATAATAAGCCGGGGCGGTGGCACATGCCTTTAATCCCAGCACTTGGGAGGCAGAGGCAGGTGGCTCTCTGTGAGTTCAAGGCCAGCCTGGTCTACATAGTGAATTCCAGGCCAGCTGAAGCTACAGGGAGACTCTGTCTCAAAAAGACAAAAAAATAAAATAAAATAAAAAATATGAAAAAATGTATAATTTAGAAAACTTAATTTCACCACAGCCAAGATGTCCAATTTTTTTCTCTACTTTTTCACATTATCTATTCTGACTAGGTAAAAATTCAGTAATAGCTATCAATTATGGGATATTTGCTTTGTGCTAAATACTGTATCAGGAACCTTTACAGGCATCTATTATCCCATTGAGTCTTTAAAAAATTTATTTATTTTATTTCCAATTATGTGTATATGTGTGTCTGTGTGTGTGCATGCACATATGTGTGTGCTGCCCACAAAGGCTCTCAGAAGAGGGCATTAGATCCCCTGGATTTGGAGTAACAGGTGTGCTGCCTGACTTGGGTGCTGGGAACCAAACTCAGGTTGCTGAATTATGACTAGTCATCCAGTTTATAGATGTCAGAAATACATTTGAATTCAGGTCTTAACCCAGCTTATGTATGAACTTAACCATTAAAGAGAGAGGAAGAGAGGTTCAGAATATATTAAACAATAGCTCCCATCATAAGCTAAATGTCCATGGGCCAATCTGTTCTCCTTGTATTCAGAATATTTAGCACATTATGGTTAGGAGTAGAATTTTGCTACTGAAAAAGCATAATACTGGGGTTTTGTTTGTTTGACATCTGACTTCATATGGTTTAGTAGTCCCACATGGATCTTGTTGGGCACGGTTGGAAAGTTTCCTAAGAAAATCCCAAGGCTTTAACTTTGGAATGCATTCAGTACTGGGAAGGACTTGGCTCTAGGATCCCACTTCCACTGCCTTGCAGGTCAAGGTGCCTTCTTCAGAGATCAGAAAACCAAGGTGTTTGTCCATATTTCATAATGCAGAATGAATGTTACTAAGTTTCAAATACTTCTAAGTGAAAATACATGGCACCTGGAAACACCTGGATGTGACCTGGTGCCATTAAAATCACTGCAACAGGACAAAGCTGTGTTTTAGGCCTCTTAGGTGTTTTCAATTAGAGGATACAACCTTAATCTATAAGATCATTTTGGCCCTGTGCTAAGCCATGGTGTCAATAGGATTCAGGGGCCAGATCATTATAGCCACATCCTTACAAGATAAGGATAGGAGATTTTTAGACATTAAGTGAGAAAGCTGGAATCAGTTCTCTAGAATTGCTCATTAAGACAACTCATCAGCAGCCATATTAGAAAATTCACTCAAGTTAGGCTCTAACATGTCCTCTTCACAGGTAATAAATCTGGTATGCATCTTCCAATAGGACATAACATTCTTTTCTTCCCTCCCTGTTTTCTTATTTTTCCATTTCATTTCAAGTCTTTACATCACACAGCATTTTAAGTATTCACATAAAATTTTTATTCTCTTTTCTTAAACAAGATTCCAGTTATTTCTTCATTTATGTACTCTTTGTTTAATATCTTATTATACCTCCTTCCCTCTGCCTGCCTCCCTCCCTCCCTCTCTGCCTCCTTCCCTCCTTCCCTCTGCCTGCCTCCCTCCCTCCCTCCTTCCCTCCCTCCCTCTTTCTTCCTTTCTTTCTCTTTCTTTCTTTCTTTCCTCAGTGCTGAGGATTTAACCCAGGACCCCAGGCATGCTTGACTGCAGACATACCTCTACCCAGCATTTACCCTTTCTTAATCTTTTGTCAGAAGAACAAAAGCCATACTTTGACATGACTTGATATATCAAGTTTCAGGACATCATTTATCATGCCTGTTATTCTAGTGCAAATGCCATATTCTTACTGTAAAATATTATTTTGAGGGCATGGTGGGGCACGCCTTTAATCCTAGCACTTTGGAGGGAGAGGCAGGTAGATCTCTGTGAGATCGAGGCCAGCCTGGTCTGCATAAGTGAGTTTCAGGTCAGCTGTGGCTACACAGTGACCCTGCCCCAAAAAGACAAAAAAATTATTTTGAGATGGATTTTGTGTGTTGCCCAGGCTGACCTTGAATTCCTGGACTCAAGTGTTCTTCCTGCCTCACTTTCCTTAGTAGCAAGGACTCATAGTGCCACAGCCCCCACCTTAGGACCATACCCTTTGAAAGGGCTCCATGTCCTTGTGATTGAAGGCTACTCTTTGGGAAAGGAGCTATATTCAAAGTGAAGGCCTGGCCTTGACATGAGCAGAGACTCAGGGCACTGTGAGACAGACCACACCAACTCTATGCAGGATTATTCCTAAGTGTGCGAAGAAGTGGGGCTTAGGGAAGAGTAGATATTTGCTTTGGTTCCAAGAGAGGAAGTGGGGAAGAGTATAGGCTACCAGGAATTAGTTTTTCCTTAAATAAAATATACATAGATAAAAATGCAAAATGAGCAATATTGCCAACATGTAGAGTAACTGCTTACACCTTGGGCTGTGCTGAGACCTGTAAGGAAAGGCACTACGGGAAAAGAACCCACAGCAAACCTTTCCAAAGACATGCAGCCGTCCTTACCTTCCGGATGTCTTGTACTGTTTCTGAAAAATAAAAATTTAAATTTTGAGAATTAAAGATCTATCCATACATAGGTAAGTATTAATATTTTTATAGGACTTTCACACATAGCTGAAGCTGGAGAGGCTTCGTCCCTTTTGGACCCAACTTTTAAAAATGTCAATTATCAGTTCCATATCCTGTACTATAGCACAACCAGTTTTCAGTTAGTCAAGGTTGTATTCCACAATCCCCAAGAGCAACAGTCCATTTCAATGTTAAAAAGTTGTGAAAGCTTCCTAACAATAACACAATACTACCTGAAAGAAAACAAAAAACCATGCTACAGGCCATGAGAGCTTCCTGCAGATTTGAGATGCTTTTGCTGATTTTTAGACAGTCCACTGGATTTTAGTTGAAAGACACAGCTGTTATCAACGAAGTCTCTTGGCCCCATGCTAGGGAGTACCTCAAGAAGAATCTCAGAGAGGGATTTATGAAGCCATATCTTATAGAGACCCTGATTATATACTTTTCATCTTTACAAGGTGTTTAATTACGTAAGCTTAGAAAGTACTGTTCCCACAAATTTCTCTCCCTAGAGGTAACCACAGTTCATCTGCGGGTCCTGCCTGATGTTCATCTTTCTGGGTCCTGCACCCACATCCCCCACCTCTTACAAGGTGCAGTTGCCACTTCTGCTTTTTAAATAAAGATGTATTACACATCACTGTATTAAGAAGGTAGAAAGCTTCTGCTAACAATATAATGTGTTAGTCGACAGATTTCTACCTTTTTAAACAGCAGAATATCCCATCATATGTATAAACAGACCACAATTTCATCGCTTCCTATAGGATGAGCCTTTTATGTAGTGCTCTTGAAATATTGCAAAAACCAAATCAGGGTTTTCCCTTATAAATAAATTTGTAGCTTATTGACATTTTAAGAGCTCTAGAAATTTTCTTTTTAGACAGGGTCTCATGTATCTCAGGCTGGCCTTGAACTTGCAATGTAGTTAAGGATGACATTTGCATATTCAGCGGTTGGGGTTGCTTTTGCAATTACTGTTCTACTCTGGAAGTAATATAGGAGTCATACCAGCTGCTCTGAGCACATGGAATGAGAGTTTAACTTCTGAAACATATACCTCAACTATACCACACCTAGCTCCACTTGCAGAGTACCAACATAGAGAGTTCTAGCTGTACTTGGTAATGCTATAAAAGCTGGGAAAATCTACTGTCCCAACCAGGAGTTTTGCAGTGTTAGTTCTTCAGTATCTTTTGGTCAAGTTTACAGTTTTTCCTCTCCATTTATCTCATTTAATTGTATAATTTTTCTGATTACTAATACTGATGACTGTTCTTAAATTTTACTGGGAGCTTGTTTCTTTGTAAAGCTGCCAGGTATATATGTGTGTATGTATGTATAGATAATATACATATATTATATAATAATGGAATACATGAAATATGTTACATATATACCTATATATGTTTAAAGGTCCCCTTTTCTCTTATTTTTGTTGTATGGTACTTCTTTCTATGTTAATCTTTATGTGTGTCAATAACATAGTATCTGACTGTACGTTTTGCAATGGGACACTTTTGCTGATAGAAATAGAAATCTTGCTTCAATCCAGCTATCAAACTCATCAAATTATAATTCATCTAACATTTTTTTGTGTGTATAGCTTGACTAACAATGAACGAGAGTGAAAAATACAAATATATTTCAGGACTTACCACTGCTCTTCATAACTTTGTGTGATCTTGAGGAAGGTTCTGAGAGAAGAACAAAACAGCATCATTTGCAAAACCAAATCAATATTTTTTCTCATAAATAAATTGGTAGCTTATTGGTGTTTTAGGAGCTCTAGAAATTTTCTTTGTTTTTAGACAGGGTCTCTTATATTTCACACTGACCTTGAACTTGCTATGCATCTGAGAATGACCTTGAATTCCTGATCCTCTTCCCTCCACTTGCCAAGTGCCGAGATTACAGGCACAACTGACCTATCATGCCCAGCTACACCTTGTCCTCCTCCACCCCCAGCTCTATCCCTCACTCTAGCCAGTCTGAACTGCTGACAGTGGCTGTCTGTCCTCATGCATGATGGCTCAAGTTCCAGGGCCTCTGCATGGACTATTCCAGTTCCATCTGCTGCAGCCTCACATTCCATCAGGGGTGCTGGTCCTTCCCTCTGCAAAGCCTCTCTCCTTCCTGGAACAGTGATCTCTTTCTCTCTTCTTTGTCTTTTCCTTCCATCCCACATATGCCATATGCCAAACCTCCATCAAACAGACTGGTATTTACATTCCTTTTTTTTTGGCCTTTTACTGTGAGGGTCTTGTAAACAGGAATTGCAAGTGCTATTTATCTCCTGGTATTCCTTGTTCGTAGCAAAGGGCAGAGCAAGTACTCAATAAATACTCCTTCAAATAAAACCAAGATCTGAGGGTTAAGAGAATACTTCCTGGAGCAAATGCATATGAAAAGTTTTGACTTGAATATTTTTTTGTGTGTCATTCACAAGATACAATTTTCAGCAGCAACAGCAAATAGGGTCTAATTAAGTACTAGCCAATGGTGATGATGAGGGTGTGTGTGTGTGTGTGTGTGTGTGTGTGTGTGTGTGTGTGTGTGTGGTGTGTTACTCTGGCTGACCTGGAACTTGATATGTAGACCAGTTTGGTTTTGGATTCACACAGGTCCACCTGTCTCTACCTCCTGAGTGCTGGGACTAAAGGCATGTACTACCACACCCAGCTGGCTGAGAATAGTTTATATTTGCTTGGTGGGAGTTACATAGAAAGGAATTTAAAAGAATGATTGGAGAGTTTATTTTAAGGTAGCTTCAGATGTATTCAAACTGGAAGTGAGCTAACAACAACAACAAAACAAACAAACAAACAAAAAACAGCCAGAAAATGCTTGTTAGTCAGGAAAGGACTTTCTCAGCATTACATTTGGGTTACAGCACCCTACTCACCAGATTTCCTTCTCAGTCGATATGGTGCAGAGCCTTCTTTAGAGCCACATGGTGCTTTTGTTTCTCCCTCAGGATTGTAACAGAAGCCTGGATGGTCTGTAAACATAGCCAGAGGCCTGAGTGTGAGCTCGGTGACTTGCATTTATCTTCTGCTTGCTTTCATACACCTTAAACTCAGAGAGATCTACCTGCATCTGCCTCCTGAGTGCTGGTACTTTTAGCATCAGCCCTGCCCAGCTGGCTGATACAAATAGAAAGGAATTTAAAGGAAAGACTAGAGAGCTAAAGGCAACCACAAATGTGGGGTGGTTGTAATTTTTAGAATTTTGTGCTACATCAGAAAACCCAGTAACTCTCAAGTGATGGGAATTCTTGTAAATAATCAACATGAATTTTTTTTTTTTAGGGGTTGGGGTAAAGGAGAAATGCATCATGGGGCCTTTTGGGTGGTGGTAGAAGTGGTAGGAAGATTTCACCCTGAAGGCTTATGTGACACTGTTGGTATATGCAGAAACCTAGACATGTGGCCAGCCATCAAGTGACTCACAGATTAACCAGGAGAATCAATGCAGAAACAAATCAGTATCTTGGGGAGGGATGAGTGTGTCTGTTCTCGCTACTAAGAAGGTGAGAGGACATCTTTTATTTTCTTTTTAAAAAATCTTTTATTTATTTTTATTTTATGTGCAAGTATGTAAGTGCACGTGTGTCATGCAATGCCCATGGAGGTCAGAAGAGGGCATCAGGTTCCCCTGGAACTGGAGTTATGGATGGTTGTTAGCTGCCATGTGGGTGCTGGAAACTGAAGCCAAGTCCTCTGCAAGAGCAGCCAGTGCTCTTAATGACTGAGCCATCTCTCCAGCCCAAGTGCTATTATAAGTGATGTTTTACAAATTTTGAGACAGAAAATGGATGGGTTCAAATAAACAATAGCATCTTTAATTATGCTAAGAAAACAAAACTTACGAATGGCATCCATTTCAAGTATTGCCTGCTTGGCCTGTAAGAGAAAATAAAATAGAAACGTTTTCATTTCTTCTTTAAACTACCAGTCCTACCTAACACAACTATTGTTACACACCTGAATAAATGGATTTTTAGAAAACACTGAAATAAAACTCTCAGTATTCTTTTAGTCATTAATGCATAGTTCAGGGGACACAAAGACTGTCCTCATAGGGGTTAGCAGATGCTGTCCATTTGGCACATCACATTGAAGGTTTGGTGATTAGTTTTGTCAACTTGACACAATATAGAATCACCTGGGAAGAGAGTCCCAATAAGAGACTGTCTAGATCAGGTTGGCCTGTGGGCATGTCTAAGGGGGACTGTCTTGATTATGCTAATTGATGTGGGAAATCCAGCCTAAAAGTGGGCAGACACTCCCCAGCCTTATGTCCTGAATTGTGTAAGAGTAGAGGAAGGGAGCTGAGCGGCAGGCGGGCAGGCAGGCAGGCATTCGTCTCTCTGCGATTGTGCATGTGATGGAACCAGCTGCTTCAAGTGCCTGCCTTGACTCCCTGTCATGATGGACTGTAACCTGGAACTGTGAGCCAAAATAAACCCTTTCTCCCCTGAGTTGCTTTTTGTCAGGGTGTTTTATTATAACAACAGACAGGAAACCAGAACAAGCTGGTACCCTCACCCTACAAAAGGAAGGGAGAGCGAGCTGATCATTAAGATCCACTGGGTAGGTAATTAAGAAATGTGGACTGTAACTGCCCAGCTGTGCTCTGCTGAGCCCAAAGCTCAAGACAGAGCGCGCCTGCATCTCAGAATGCCTTGATACCTATGTATCTCTGTGGGCCTTAGAACTACAGTCTTCAGGATCTTGGGGGATTGGTTCTGGGACCCTCCCACTACTGAGGACACCAGATCCATGGATGCTCAAGTCCTTCAGATAGACATTGTATTTACACACAGCCTATACATACCTTCCTGCAAACTTTAAATCAGTTCCAGATCATGTATAACTTCTAATAGATAAATGCCATGTAAATAATTTTATATTATAATGTTTTGGGAATAATGGTAAGAAAAATAAAATCTGTGCATACTAAGTACAGGCGCAATCCAGCCCCTTCTATCTCAGAGCAACAGTGTGTGTGTGTGTGTGTGTGTGTGTGTGTGTGTGTGTGTGTACGCAGCTGTGCTGTCTAGATGTGCTTCTCAACTGTAAAGTAGAATAGTAGGATCTACCCTTCAAAGTGCCATTCTCATTCACATCAACTGACAGCACTCCCCTGTCCACCACCTTCTACCCTTCTAGAGGATGGAGCCCAACACCCTGAGGGCTCTGCTCTACATACACTTAGCTGTTCAATCCCTAATGCTTTGGGTGTTGTTAATGTGGTCATATGTCCCTGACACTTAGAGGATTGTAAACAGGTAAGATGACTGTCTTGACCCAGCATTTTGCTTACTGATTCAAAGAAAAAAAGATCAGTTGGGGTAATCCTTGCCTTTTAATGCTGTTTTCATTTTCCAAGGACAATATAATTTAGTCTACAAACACTATGCTAAAAATAATTTAAAATGATTTCATTTCTACTCTGCTGAAGTCTGTGACTATTTGGGATAAATGGTAACCATATGTAATTTTTTAAGGTAGAGGAGGGGATGGAAAAACCTTACTTTTGAAAAAAAAAGATTAGCTGCCTCATGAACTAATATTTATATTGTATTTTTGAAACCTGAGATAATGAATTTGGTTCATTTTACATATCATGTTTGTATATGTTAATTCATAGCAAAGTATTTTCTTCCGTTATTATTCCCACTGTTTCCACTAGGCGTCAGCGGAGGACCACCAGGGAACTGAAGGAAGCCAAAGAGGCGGGGAGGAGGCCCGTGAATCACCAACAGCTGTGTTGACTTTAGTGGCAGGGTTGGGTTATATATTTCTTGATGTTTAAAGTATCCCATTATACATTTGTTTGATTTCATAGAAGTAAATGTATTTTGAAAGCTTTAACAAAACAATCTAAATAGATTTGATGAAAGATGTGAAAAACTTCAATTTAATAATTCCGTTTAAATAGGATAAGAAATTATTTCACCATTATAGTGGATAAAGTATATTAAATAAATATGTTTTCATTACTAGTGGGAGAAATATGGTTAAGAAGCTCTTTGGAGCCAGATGCCCTGGGTTTGAACCTGGATTTAGTCATGTACTAGTTAGTTGTAAAACTTGGACAATTTGCTTAATGTCTCTGAACCTCTGTTTTTATTTCTCTAAAATGGGAAGAACAAGACTCATGTCTAAGGTACTTTGCTGAGTGTGAACTAAGAATATAATTAGCTCAATGTATATGTGTTCAATAAGTTGTAATTTAGAACCCATTCTTAAACTCTAAATGAACTAGTAACTTGGGTGAGTAGTACAATGTTATTATGGCTACATTAACTGTTTTCAGACATAACGAGAAAACTACCAGGAATTCATATACCCAGAATAGGAGGAAGAGGACAGGTATAAGGCCACTGTCTCATTTGTAATGAACTGTAACTGCCTTTCAGAATCTCCTTAAGCAATTTGATTTTCCCAGGACATCTGTAAACAACAGGCGGGGCATATCAAAGATGCAGAAGGGCATTCCAAGGCACCAGGCCAGCAACCCTGACTAACCATGAAGAGAAGGCAACCGCCATTCTGCAAGAGTTCACTTGTGTTTCACAACACCATGATGAAATGAAATGTATACTTCAGTCTGAGCACACATCTCTGCACATTCATTTCCTGAATACAAAACCCACCATTGGCACAGCTTCTGAAGACCTGCCTCAAAATCTTTCCAAAACATGCAGAGGACACGTTGGGCAGAGGGGGCATACCTGTGATCCCAATACTCAGGAGGCCAATGCAGAAGTTCAAGACCAGCCTGGGCTATATAGTGAGACACTGTCTCAGTGAACCAACCAACCACACATGCATGGAGGGAAAAAAGGTAGATTTCTTCTTTCTTAGAATTCCTCTTGGTTTTCCATCCAGCAGCACTCCTATGATTTTGATCTCACTTCCTGCTCTGCCTTTCTTTTCCTGGCTCCATCATAGACATTACCCACATAAATGGCTACCTAGCCCTTCATCTTGGCTACTTTATCTCTAATAACCTTTTCCTCCGCTCCAGGGCAACAACATGGCACTAGGCACCCCAGAACCTGACAATACCAGGTGTGTCAGGCAGGATACCTTCTTCAACTACAGAGTTCATATTTCCATCTTTTGACCAGAATTCCCACTGAACCAGCTGATCACAAGCCCATTTGGGTTTTCCTCCACTCAGCCTATAATCACAATCATTGTAGTTGCAAGCTCTTGAGCTTGTGTTCCTCCTTGCTGTAGGAACCTTCTCTTGCCAGCTCTGCCACCCCAACCCAGAGAAACCCATGGGTGGGCACCATGTTCTGTAACAGCAGTTTCTAGGTTGCTAAGCAATTTGAAAAGCCACTGTCACCGATTCACAGTGGCAGCTTCAGGTGGGTTTTTGGTGCCTTGCAGAAAGGGTCTGAGGCATCTCTGACTAGTCCACGTTCTTTGGTAATGGGCCTGAACATCTCCACTTTCAGGCACCAACCCCACCTCATCTCTGCTTCATCCCAGCCAGCGGCTTTACTGTCCATCCCAGTGTCTCCAACTCTTCATGTTTTCCTAATTCCAGTACTATCTGGCTCTTTCTCATCCTTTTTCTCCCTAGCTCAGGGAAGATGCTTTCAACCCTTTCCAAGACTACTCCCCCACACTTGTGCTTATGACCCCTTCCAGTTCCCCAACCAACCCCCAGCCCCCTCCCTTTGCTGCCTCCGGCTTCCTCTTCTTTGCTGAGGCTCACTTACCTACATATTTTTTCACCCAGGTAGCAAGTCCTATTTTGATATGGCCTCTCTCTAAGCTATACACTCTTTTTCTTTTTCAGAACTTTATGAAAAGAAAAAAAAGTCCACACCCAGCCTGTTTCTCATTTCCCCCTTGCTCTCCCACCCACTGCAATTCTCTCAGTTGCCAGATCACAATCTGTTTTCCTTTTGCATCATTTTTTGACCTCTTCAAGACTGCCGTTTCCCCATCTTTTGTTAGCAGATGCCCTTCTCTTCTGGTTTCCCCACAACTTTCTTACTGCTCTTTCTTTGGCTGTCCTCCAAATTATCGCCTCCCACCTCATGATGACTTGTTGGGATTCCCAGGGGTCCCTGTTTCCCTTAAACATTTTCTGTGGGCCATCCTGTCAAATCTTAGGACTTTAATCACTGACTCTCCTGCTCCTTGGCTTCCAGAGCCTGAATTTCCACCTGCAGTCACCCTGCCAGCTGCTCCTCAGCTCCCATCTAACCGGTTCCACGCCCTCTGTGAACCTGTTTGGTAACTCCCAACACCATGCTGGGTGTAGCTCCTGATTCAAGCACAGTCTCAGTGGGTGAAATCTGTTTCCTCAGCCTGGGTGACCCGTCTTCCATCTGCTCTGTGTTGCCCTCCATAGGCTACTAGACTGCCTTCCACCTCCTGGGCCTCACCCCTGCCCTGTCTCCAGGCCCTCATGTCCCAATACCAGCTGTGTTTGGGGAACACTGTGACACTGGTCACTCCTGTTGTCCAAGTCTGGTTTTCCTCTTCCTTTCCCCCTACTTCATACAAACGTTCCTCATCCTTCAAGAAAGCAGAAGGCATTTTCCTTCCTCTGGGTTCTGGCCCCTCCCTGACTTTGTCCTTCTGAGACACCTGGCTTTCAGAGCTATTATTTTCCCACATTGTGCAAACAGATCTGGGATAGGCCGACTGGCAGCTGTAAATTCCTTTCCCACCAAGCTGGGTGGGTTTCCCACGTTCCCTCAGCACCCAGTACAGTGTCCCCAGGTTCTGAGGTCTCCTCAGAGCTTCCAGACTCAGTTTTCTATTAGTTCTCTACAAGTTTCTTATGGTCTTTCCATTATTTTTTTCTCCTTTTAATCTCTAAAGGAAAAACAGTAACAGTAATTAACAGTGCTTCTATAGTCTAGCACACATTGAAATCTCTTCAACTTGACTGGCAAATGCCATTGGCCTCTATAGATCTACGAATATCTATGTTCAACCTCTGAGATGCATTTTTGTTTTTTTGAGACAGGGTCTTGCTAGGCCATTACTCTGCCTCAGCCTCCTGGGTGCCAGGATTGCAGGCTCCCCAGATGCTCCATTTTGAAGCAGGGTCTTACTTCCTTGCAGACTGCCTTGCTAGGGCCCGAGTTTTTTCAGCATTACTGTTTGCTGATTGACTTTCCAATCTTACCTTGGCTGGAATCTTTGCTGCATGGTTTTCCAGAATCAGTCTCTTCAGGTGCAGAACCCAGAGGCGTTTGTCTTGCTGGGATTTGGCCTATGGGGGGAGGGGGTGATTTAGATAGTGAGATGTGAAAGGCCCAGCACCCAGCAATCCTCTTCCACTAGGGGATCTGGGAGGAGGCCCAGCAGTTACCTGAACTGTGTGCTGTAGCTTGGGGTTCTTGTAATGGAAGACGCTGAAGCTGAGAGGTTCCTTGGGAATCACCTCCACCAGCATGAGGTTGCCACACTGCCACATAGAATACAGGGGTGAGGCACACTAGGAATGGGACAAACCACCCCAGGTTTTGTGTGCCATGTGTGTGCAGACCTACCAGGATGTGAGCTTTGTATGTAAATGTGTCATCCCTCTTCTTTGTGATGAGAAGCAACTTGTCAAGGAGGAAGAGTGTCCTCTCGTTCTTTGCACGCTGGATGCGAAAGGTTCCCTCAAGCACCAGCTCCCCATAGCTGGTGAGGTCTGGTCCCTTCCAGTTGGTGAGCAGGCTCTGGATCTCCTGAGAAAGGGAGTATCCATGAGTGAAACTCCAGGCAAATTGCAGGGAGCCAGCAGCCCATCACTAAGCCTCAATGATGGTGACTGATGGTCTGTGATGTAAATCTGTGTTTATGAATGCCGTCACTCAAGGGTTATCCGAAATGAGTCAAATTGTTAGTTGTTGGATTGTCAATTGCTTATTGTTATTGCTTAACAGTCCCTGTGTTGTGGCTGGTGACCGCAGCCACACCTTTCCAAAGCTTGATAAAGGCGTCACCAGTACAGACCTCAGATGGGCATCCTTCCCTGACCTTCTAATCCCTTCCTATGGATTAAAAATCCTTCAGTGTTGGGCCTAAAAACTTTGTTCCAGAAACTAAGTCTATACCATATAGAAACTGAAGTCTATATAACATTCACAAGACACATTCTCAGAAGTTTTCTGACTTTAAATTCATTTATTTAGGAAGGAAATGGACAATTCTTCAGCTTTAAGGCTTTCGATGGGACTTGGAAAATATAAATTGGCAATATAACTGATTTATATTGCACATCAAAACTTTTAAGGTTTTATTACTTAGAAAAATGAAAATATTCATAATTAAGGAAACCACATGATGACAAAACTCTTGACTGGGAAGCTGGGTGTGTTGCAGAGTGTTTGTCTAGTATCTGTAAAACCCTTTGGCTTGTCTCACTACAAAAAATAAATAAAATAAAGTAACTCCTTTTGGCTGGAAACAGAAATGGATAAAGTTAACTTTGTGACAGAGTCTGATTTAATGGTACCTTCAAAATGTCAGGCAGATTCATACAGTCTGAAAAATGAGCCATTTAGTCATTTTTGACTATATAACAGATGTCTGACATTATATTTGTGTAACACTACTGCAATTAAAACAACAGACATAGCCTGAAGAATAGAATGTGGTCTTTCTCTGACTTTTGACAGTTATGACATTGCACCAAGCTTTGGATGCCTATGGGTGAAATCCAGGGTTTCTTCTGACACATGAGAACAACACCTTTTTTTTTTTTTTTTTTTTTTCCCCTTGGGCTGAGTTAGCTGTGCAGTCCCTCTGTGTCTTTCTGTCTCACTTTTAGGGACACCAAGGGCTTTGGAATTAGCTTCCCACATGAGATTTTGTTTGGAAGTGGTGCATTTTTTTTGAGGTGCCCAGGATATGATAATTGGCTCAGCATCTATCAAAAGTTTCTGAAGATTTAGGAGTCACAATGGTGGTACTGAATAAGCCCTTAGCAAACTGTCATCTGAAGATGATGACTAGAATGATGTGCTTAAGAGTCAGGTCTCGAATGAAATGGCAAAGGATCTGATTCAGTTTCCAGTCCCCTCACTGAGTTGCCTGCCCTGTGACCACACTTACGCCATATCTTACAGGTTTGCATGAACTAGTGAGAAAAGACTAGAAACTTAAAGAGTCTTTAGAGAAAGTTGCTTTCCATAAGAATTATTAATTTGTTATAAGATTAAAGCCTTTGGAGACCCAAATATTTAAAACTACAGTCATCAAAGAAGTCATAAGCAAACTACTGGTTTAAAAGTGACAATATAGGCAGGGCATGGTGGCGCACGCCTTTAATCCCAGCACTCAGGAGGCAGAGGCAGGCAGATCTCTGTGAGTTCAAGGCCAACCTGGTCTAAATAGTGAGTTCCAGGATGGTTGGGGCTACAGGGAGACCCTGTCTCAAAAAGACAAAAAAAAAAAAAAAGTGACAATATAACTTTGTCCTAAGTAGCCATTCTAAACAATGGTCAGTATAATCAGCACCCTGACCTTTCTTCAGAGAGGACTCTGACGGGACCATGAAATGAGGGGTACCACTTCTGCAGCCTGAATATTTGATTTGGAAAATAATAATGTGTCAGTGCACCTGCTGGGCAGTGGCGCTTCACTGTGGGCTCACCTGTAAGCGGACAGCATGTTCGTGCTTCCGTTTCATGTCATTGATGTGCCAGGCCACTCGCTGCATTGTGTCTATAGCATCAAGCACGACATCGTACCCTTCCGTGTCCTTGTCAAGGTGATTTTCTATTTCCTTTAAAAGAAATGTCATTTTTTTTTTCTCATGTAGCCAGCGAAGCAAATGTAACCTTTGGGGTTAATTCTATATATATATATATATATATATATATATCTCAGATCCTCTGGAACTAGAGTTGCAGGTGGTTGTAAGCAGTCACGTAGGTGCTGGGAATCAAACCTGTGTCCTCTGAAAGAGCACCAGTGCTCTTAACTGCTGAGCCATCTCTCCAGCCCTACTATCATTCCTTTAAGTGATAACTTACTATAAATATCTATCACAAAATGGCAAGATGGGAACAAAAATGTGTAGGAATAGTCAAAGTACAGTTCCAGGATAGAGTATAAACCCCATAGTAAGTCACACAGAGATTACAGTTATAATGGTGCCAATGTAAGATAGCTCTGAGTAATCTCATTCTCATTCTTACAAGATAAAAATAGCCTTCTTTTCTCATAGTGGCAGAAAAATGTCTCAAATAGGACTCAGAAATAGAGTGGACATTATCTTCACAAAGACTACCTCCAAAGGCACTGGGAATATAGCTCAGTCAGTGGTAGAGTATGAGCTTAGTAGATACAGGCCCTGGTTTGATCCCAGCATCAATAGAAGAGAAATAAGCAAAAGCCATCATAGCAAGTGCATCTTCATGTAATCAGAGTTTCAAAGCCCAGCTGAGGTTCACTAAAGACAGTCATTCAGAGGACTGAGAAAGCTAACAGCATTCAGGAACTCATTCATCTTGGCATGGAGTTCCACAATCCCAGGGAGGGGAGAGAGAACACAATATCTCTTCTGATTCTTGGAGCACCTATCACTCCTGTCTTGGACTCCTCAAGATTCTAAACACAGAGGGGGCTGGAGAGGTGGCTCAGCAGTTAAGAGCACTTGGTCTTGCAGAGGACCTGGGTTTGGATCCCAGCACCCACATGGTGGCTAACAACTGTCCATAGCTCTAGTTCCAGGGGCTCTCATGCCCTCTTCTGTCCTCCACAGGCACTGCATGACAGGGTGCACTTACACACATGCAGGCATAACATTCATACACATAAAAGTAAAAAGTAAGTAAAAAAATTTTAAAAAGATTCTAAGCATAGAGACCATTGGTCTTTTGATTATTTTGTCTTCTCCACAGTACCCAATGAACAGATGATGGTCAGTGAATACTTTTATCTTTTTCTTTTTCTTTTTAATGGCACTGGAGACCAAGCTTAGGGCCTTACCGAGGCATGATGGACAACTACACCACCATGGAGCTACATCCCCAGTTGAAATAAATGCTTATTAATTTGAAGGTGTATCTTCTTAAAAATAATGATCCTGTGTAAGTATAGTGAGGCCTCCATGCTCATGGGTTTCACATCCGTAGATCCAACTAACAATAGATTGAAGATATCTGGTTCTATAGCTATCATACTCTTTTGGGGAAAAGTCTATACATAGTCAATACAGAGCTATTCCCCTAAGCAACAGAACAACTCTTTACCCAGTATTTACAGTGCATTAGATATTATAAGTAATCTAGAGATTATTTGAAGAATCATATCTGGGAGAAAGTATGTGAGTTATTTGTAAATGATTCTCTATTATTATTTTTAAAATGTAATATACAAAGTAATGAGTTTACTGTGGCAGTCTATGCTATTTTGTATAAGAGATCTGAGTAGCTGTAGAGTCTGTTATTGGGAAACCAATCCTCTGCAAATATCAAGGGATAGCGCATCTAAAACAATAAGAACTTGGTTGCTGGATTGTTTCTATGACATGCTGTACATAAAAAGAAGAGCTTAGAGCTTATGGTATAATCCTGAAGATCAATCCCATTACTTTATTGTAACACTTTTAAAAACTGAGTATTCTAATATTTTATCCAGTTTGATACTGGAGAGGAATTTACATTTTCTTTCTATATTCAGACCCACCCATTAAAATGTCTTATGAAATTGTGCTACAAGCTAAGTTCAAGGTGAATGGCAAACCTTTAAAAACTAATAATTTCTTCTTTTTAGAGTAAGAGTCAGTGCCTTTTGATTGATAGCTAGCTGGTGGCCTAGAAGACTGTAAGAAGAGTCTTACATGTCATACCAACACAATTTAGCAGAGATGTATCTTGGGGTAGGTGCTACTGATTCAGGACACTGGTTTAGTAAACTTATCAACTTAAAAAACTGAAGTAATATCTCTGATGTGGCTCTAAAGGATGATGTAAGATTCTCCAAAGGTGAGCTATCCAGGCACATAGACAAAATAAAGAAATTCTGAATAAATAAAATACTAAAAAAAATTTAAAAGACGCTGGATTAAGAACAGCAGTTAAGAACACTTGCTGTTCTTCCAGGGGACCTAGATTTGAGTCCCAGCACCTACATGGCAGCTAATAACTGTCCACAACTCCCAGTTCCACGGGATCTGATACCCTCCTTCTGGCCTCTTTGGGCACTGCAAGACAACAGTGTACTTATGTACATGCAGGGAAAATACTCATACACATAAAATAAAAATAATAAGTAAAATATTAAGAAAGAAATTCTGGTAAAGTTGGAACAAAAATGTTATAAATTTTCACGTGTAAACTTAGCAAACCTGGATTGTTCAAGTTAGAAATCTACAATAATTCAAAAGAAATACCAAACATGGTCTATGACCACACTACCCTGAGCACAGTAAACCTTATCTGATCTTGGAAGCTGAGCAGTGATGAGCCTGATTAATATTTGGACGGGAGAGATACCAGGCATGCTGATAAAGAGAAGTTTTAGATGAAAATTCCTTTATTTTTAAAATTTATTTGTTTATTGATTGATGGATTGAAGTAGGGTCTCATGTAGCTCAGGCTGGCTTCTAACACTCTATGTATGCAGCCAAAGATGACCTTGAAGTTCTAATCCTCCTGCCTCTACCTCTAAAATCCTTTTAGGAAAAGATTCTTAATGTAGTATAAAAATCGTAAACTATAAACACTGTCTTATTTTTACTAAATCACCATGAGCCAGTGAATGTGGGCATGTTGTAGGACCTGAAGGCACGCAGACTTGCCTCAGCCCTGCTCCCCAACCCTGTTGTTCTGCCCTTCCTCCACTGCAAAGCTAAACAAATCCTACTTCAGAACACAAATTATCTTTAATAGAATAGAAGCGATGCTGAGCCCCACTCTGATATCTGAAGTGATGCTGAGCCCCACTCTGATATCCAGAAATGATGCTGAGCCCCACTTTGATATCCGGAAATGATGCTGAGCCCCACTCTGATATCCAGAAATGATGCTGAGTCCACTCAGATATCATTCACCACACTGCTCATCTGTCCACTTTCTTTCCAGCACCTTCTCCTTTCATTCATACATGAATCAGCCTATGACAAAAAGTTTTCTCTCCCAGCTGCCTACTGAATTGGGGCTCAGGGAAATAAAACATGAAAAAAAAATCTGCTTTTCATTTAGATGATAGCACCCAGTCTGAAACTGTCCCTGCCCAGCCCAAGGCACTCATCAGCTCTGTCACTATCCAAGCTCAAATTAATCTTTCAGGTTGGCTGTTGTCAATAGGGCTGTAGCCCTGGCATAAAATATCTCTAATTTCTCAAAGCAGATCAGTCTGTTGTAAAGTATGAGTGTGGAAAATGTTTCCATATGCCCCTATCTCCTGGAAAATGTTCTAGCACAAGCTGAGACTTACATGCAAAAGGAGATGATATTTGAGAATCCGCTGAACTGGTTTTAGGAGATAGGACCCTAGAGGCAGCGAGTGTTTCAGAGTTTCTTGGCGTTCCCGGAAGAACTTGGCCAGTATCTTGTTCCTCATGCACTCTGTTAACATGGCAACTGACCTGCAAAAGAAGCAAATGGTTTTTCTCTCCACTCAATGTTTTACATAGGTATTTGAGTTTTAAATGCTCGTGTCAATAAAAATGCCCTAAAACAGGTATTATAACACAGAGCTATCGATAGGCTAGAATGTCTTGGGGCAAGTTAGAAAAGAGGTCCCTTTGGGTGGGTGAATTAGAAAAGGGTTCTGGACTCAGTGGTATAGTACCATGGGCTCCAAGCTTCTAAGAAGCAAGATCCTTCCTTCACACACAATGCCACAAGGCACATGGCTTGGCAAGAGACACGAGTTGGATTTCAGCCCCTACATATACCCCATCTGGATGTCTTTGTACAGTGTTCATGTTGCACATCTGTATTCCATTCTCTCAAGTCAGGTTATAAGGAGCTGCCTCATTGGACTAAGAAAAGGGAGTTGCTGTTTGCTATAGACCTGGCCTCCTGTCAGGGCGCTTGTCACCCCTTTGATGGTTACCTTTGTGAACTGTACCCACTGTACCACTTTCCCAGAGTTGACCTCTCTTTGAGGAACTTTCAACTGCTCCCCTCTTTATCTTCAAGTGCTTTTCATTCTTGATAGTCTCATTCCTGACAGAGAATGCTTCAGTGTAGGGTGTTAGAAAAGGCGATTAGGGGGCTGGAGAGATGGCTAAGCAGTTAAGAGCACTGGCTGCTTTTGCAGAGGACCCAGGTTCGATTTCCATCACCCACATGGTGGCTTACTACCATCTGTAACTCCAGTTCCAGGGGATCCAATGCCTCTTCTGACCTCTGAGAGCACTGCATGACACGGGTGCACTTATACACATAAAGGAAATACACTCATACACATAAAATAAAAATAATAAATAAAATAAAGGGGGGGGCCTAGAGGTTTTCTGCATCCTTCAAAGCTAATGTGTAGCAAAACATATTAAGGCAGTGGATGAAACAATGCTCATCTCTCACACATCAAGCTAGCTAATGGTCTTAGGAGACACACACACACACACACACACACACACACACACACACACACACGGCACACGTAAATTAAAATCTTATGGCAGAATAACTTGGAAGCAGGTGGAAATAATTTTATCCTTCTCCCTAAGTCATTAACATGTTTCCAGGATTGAGAAAATCAGATGCAGACAAACAACAAAATTAGGCTCCTTAGAAAGACGTTAAATGAAAGTCTCGTATTTGAGCCATTAGAATACCTTTTGTGTCCATCTGCTTTTGAAAGTATCTGTTTAAACTAATATATATCTCCCCCGAGTCCAGATTTCAAAACTCTTTATCGTGTGACCTGGGGATTTTTCTGAAGTTCTTTAGAATTAGACTCAGCTGCTCGGTAGCCTGATGGCCCCAAGTTCTTGCTCAAGATCAGAACCTGTTGCAAATGGGGAGCATATGACATGCAGGTTCCTGGAAGTCCCAGGCACAGGGCAGGCATCTAAGGACAGTGGCCTGTCCTCCTTTCTGCCTGTCCCTGAGGGAAGGAGGGAGGGCCCTGTGCTTCTTCACAGTGAAATTACTGGGGTGTGACTGGCATGAAGAGGACACTGCGCCAAGGTGGTGCTGGCCAAATTTAGTACCAGCCTAGATCCCAAGGGGGAAGGAAAATCCTGGCACTCCTGGTTTGCTAAGACAAGGCAAAGGGACTCTTGAGTCTCCGAGCAAACTGCTTGGAGACAGAGGGCACAAAAATATTTCTCTATGAATATTAAAACTGCACAATTGGGCAAAACTGGATATGCCTTCTTCAGGGAGAGAGCCCTCTGCTAACATAGGTTTCTTCAAAGGCAGATTCAAAATAAAAACACATTCTCTCCAGGACACTGTCCTTAACCATCCCTTTGGGGCTATCCTTCTCTACATTGTGTATCTTTGGCTTCTACCTCATATTACCAAGCTCGTTCCATATTAATTTACATCTATGTGTTTAATCTTCCCTAACATACTATTCCATTACTGTGTTTAGTTGAATTCTGATCCTGGAAAGGATACCAACGTCTTGAAGGCAGGAAAGTTCATTCCTACATCCTGCTGACCTGCACTAAGCTTGGAATTGTGTGGAATGAATGACCGACGAGCTCTTGAGGTCATTCCTGCACAAACGAGCTTGCTTTTCCCCACTGTGAGGCAGCTCAGCATAGGACACTGCTTTCCCTTCTCATTCTGCTTCCTCCATAAGTCAGAAAATCTTCTGAATTTGCCATTTTGAATGTTTATGTGAAGAGGTTATTTCTTTAGATGGCGTGGTTACAGTGAAATGTACACAGTCAGAATCTCTAAGACAAGTGTCTCTGTTGTGCATGGGGTTTTGGCTTAAGGACCATGGGAGTGAATTGGGGGCATACTACAATTTCCAGATAGCTCCTGTTGAGTGGGAACAAATACTGTAGCAGAAAAACTTGCTTAAGTGAAACTGCAAACTACGGGTGTGTCTACAGATAAGGATACACGATAAACACTTGACTATGCATGTGAGAGAAACCTGGAAAAGCATGTTTGTCTAACAAAATGAATAAACGTGGCACAGCATAGTGACGATTACTTAGAGGAAGAACTAAAATCCTACCACCAGAAGCCGTTTGTCAAAAGCTTCGGGCTTCTGGACTCTTTAACACAAACTAGCTTTGTAGGGCTACTTCTGAGCCAGGGGCAGGGGTGCCCTTCTTTCCTGCAGCAGTATGTGGGTCCAGCTATGTGGATTCTACAAGTTGTATCCCAAGTACAACCCCAAGCTTGGCCCAGAGGGTATGGATCTCCCCAGCTCTCTTCCTGGCTTGTCTGTGAGAGCCTGCTAATGATAGTTTTCACATGAAGTTTTAAAACATTATAAGGATGGTGAACATATAAGGTAGCCAGAGGTTGGAACAGCCTCGGTTCAAATCCTTTCTGGGCCATTCATTAGCTGCAGAATATCATGGAGTTTATTTGTCCAGGGACCCTCAGCAGGTCTATCCATAAAATGGGGAGTGCCTGGGGTGGTGATTAGCTTGGACTTGGTGAGAATCTATTGAGTTCTCAGCACTAGGATGGGTGTTCTGTGTTTTTTAAAAATATTATTTTTTTAAATTTTAGGTATATGAGTGTATTGACTGCATATACATAAGTGCACCCATGTCATGCAATGGCCCGTGGAGGTGAGAAGAAGGTGTCACATTCCCCTGGGAATGGAGTTAGGGATGGTTATTAGCTGCCATGTGGAAACCAGTGATCTTAATCCCTGAGCCATCTCTCCAGCCCCCATTCTGTGTTCTTTTAATCTCTCAATATCTCTCTACCACTGTGAATGTTAAATTCAGCATTTCATGTTTATAGTGTTCAATTGCGCTTAGGAGTCAAATCAATAAATGTCTGATGGAGAAAAAAAAATATTTAGAGTTGTAGTCCATTGTCTTGAGCTCTTACTGAGTGGCTAGTACATTGTTGAGGTTGCCCCCTGACCCATCCTCTGGCCAGTGCTCTTTTAGTATAAGCAAAAGGGATCCAACAACCCTGGGAGGGGATAGGTCCCATTTCCTCATGGTGGCTTCTCATGATCTCTCCTTTCTGAACTCTATAAAACGTGTAAAGCTCATAAAACTTACCAAGCCAAACCAGAACACGTTTGCTCCCCAGCTGGGTTACATAAACTCATCAGCTTCATTTCCCCATCTTAAAAATATGGCCCATGTAGAAAAAGGTTAACAGATAAGCAGAGGGCTTGATGCAAATGAGTCTGTTTTCCTTTGGAGCTACCTGGGGACCTTGTTGGTCTCATTCAAAGTCTTTCACAAAGTTCCCCTGACCCGGCAGAGCGGAGCCCCACAGACCAAAGGCATTAACCCATGTCTAGGATTCCCATAATCTGTCTCACAAGTTTTGCATTTCCCACGGGCTTCAGCCCAATGCCGGGCAACACTGGTTCTAATGACTTAAAACAATATGAAAGCGCAAGGAACACCTGCTCCTTCCTGGGCCATACCTTGGGTAGTTAGTGCAATACTGGGTATAAATGTGGAACTCTTCACTCTAAAAAGAAAAAGAAGAGACTTTCATAAGCCAAAAAGCACAGACACCAACATTCATTCAAAAATACAAGAAGTATCAACCAAGCCTCTACTGCTCAATCAAGTTGTTCTGTCCCGAGGTATGTGGGGATCATACCTGCCACTGCTCTGTACCGAGAGCCCACATACCTTGAACTCCAATAAACATTTTGAACACCCATGTCCTAGTGAATCTGATGACAATCAGGAAGCATGAAAATAAAGTTTCTGCCCAAGGTGCTTATGGTCCTCTCTGGTGGATATGCAGTGTGGGAGGGAAATATAAGTAGGTTTTGTTTAAACATCCTGCAGAAAGAATATGTTGGAGTGGGCGCAGGAGCAGAAAGTTGCTGGACACTCTCAAGGTCCTGCACATGCAGCTATCTCTGCCCACAATCACTTTCAATCTTCATTTTGTAGCTGCTGGGCCTGCTTTGGGACTGAACCCAGACTGCATTTCTTCCAAGCATCTTTCCAAGAGCTTGAGTTGAACCAACTGCTTGCTCCTAACTCTGGGCATCTATCATACCCAGCATCAATCTCTCTGGAAGCCCTGACCAAATGACAGTGATCTTTTCTATGTCTGACTCTAGTGAGAGCTCCTTCAGGGCAGGGGTCATATAACATTCTTTTGACATAGAATATTTGTTGATCCGAGTCTCTCTTGCTCCTCTAGATCCCCCCTTTGGCTGGCCTAGAACTCACTATGTATCAGCCTCAAACTTAAATAGAACCACTTGCCTCTTCTTCCTGAGATCTTGGCTTAAAGGTGAGCACCACTGCACCCAGTCATTTTAGCACCTTTTCTGCCGCACAGTCTCTCTCTCTCCCTTATACTCTAATTTGGGGGAAGTATTCTTGGATGAAAGGAGCATATGGGGTAGATAGCATTGACTTGGCTCATTCTAATGACATGAATACCCCAAACTCCTAGCATTTTCTTGATGATAATTCCAGTAGGTGTCCAGGGTATGTGTATATGCATGGTGGTCTGTGTACATGTGTGCATATATACACATATGTGCAATGAGTGTTTTGTAGCCTCTCTCTCTCTCTCTCTCTCTCTCTCTCTCTCTCTCTCTCTCTCTGTGTGTGTGTGTGTGTGTGTGTGTGTGTGTGTGTGTGTACATACGCACTCATTGGCCTGAGCTCTGAAATGGGAAAAGCACTTGTGGGTAGGTGACTGAGCAAGGAGGGAGAGGAAGCCAAAGGGAGTCTGAAGTCAAACTGTCTCTCCCGTGTGCTGTCCAGAGTCAGCCCTGCCAGACGCCAAACGAAGGATGAGCATGCTACTGGCAGTGAAGGCAGTCCGGAGACAGACCCAGCCTTTCCAGCCACTTCCAGAGCTCTGGGGGCAGATTAATTTGTATGAGGGAGGAGGCTTGGGCTCATTTCTGCCCTCCAGAGATCTGGCATTCCAGGGGCAGTAGGTAGAAAGCAACAGTATTTTCCTTTTATTGGCTAAGAATTTCCTTAGCCTACACATACCACAAAAGAAAGCCAGGTCAAAGATGAGTCGCCATGTAAAGCCTCAGCGATTCTGATAAAAGCAGAAGTGAACAGCCAACTTTAGCTCTTTCCTAATGACCTCTCAATTAAAGCAATTTTCCATCCCTCCCAGAGTGGAGTGGAGCAGCTGGTGGCGGTTCAGAAAACGTAACCTCTTCTAAATGTAAGGGTGCTGAGCGAGAGGTAGCTACGTGAAACCCAGTGCTCCCTATCGACTCCCGCTCCTATGTGAAAGTGTGGAGTGCTGAAGTCAGTCTTCTAATTAAACTTGGCAATATTACAATGAAAAATGAGATTTGGGAGTTGGCAAGGAGGCACATAAACAAACTTTTATGTGAATAATTAAGCCAAAGCTAAGCATATACTGGAACATCTTTAATCAGTTTGTGATTACAGTTACCAGTAAAAGCCAAATGTTTCCGAAAGCTTCTATGCTGTTTATGTGCTGTGGTTATTTTAACATAATGTCTTTGATATACTAGGCCTATCTTTTTCTTTTTTTTTTCTTTTTTTTTTTTTTACACCATTACCATTTCTCCTGTTTGTTTTCTTTGTCTTCTTAAAATTCCTACTCGATGAGAGAATCAATTATAAAGCAGGCAGTTGTTAAAAAATTGTGTGTGTAAGCATATGTGTACCAACATTTTCCACAGAAACACACACAAACCTATGCAGTCAGGTTATAAACAAGCCCATTGATTGTCTTCAAGCAATTTCAATAAAACCCAGAGCTGTGCTATGTTTGGATTCTAAGCCACTTAGACGGGCCTGTGGCCATCAGAATGAACTGTGTGGAACAAGTCTAGAGCCAGGTCAGGCTGGAACAACATCCTAGGTTCACCTTAGGCTCCAGGACTCTAAACGAGGTGCTAATTCATGGTTGGCCTGGAAGCACCACCTTGAACTCCACTTCAACTTTTATTCACGCCAAACCTTTATGCAACTTTAAAAACCACATGAATTTTTGATGCAAAACAGTTTCTGCTAAAGGTTTTCCAAAGAAAAGTTGTCGGATCTTGAAGATAAATTTAAACAAGACAGGCCCCTGTCTATGCCAGGTAGTGTGTGGAGGAAGGAGTGCAGCCAAGGATCATCGGGTATTTTTCAGAATACCGTCTCCTTCCAAGTTCAGAGCACAAACTTGCTGCCATCTGTTTTTAAAAATCAAGACCATTCCTTGTATTTTTCTAAATCATCAGTGCAACTTGAGAAATATAGAAAGTCAGAGTGTATTTTTAAGATGCCAGAAATCAATTTTGCTTT